GTATTTTATGCTTAATAAAATTATTTAAAAATTAAAATTGATTAAAAAATAAATAAAAAATAAATTTTTTAAAAAAATTTTGGGTATTCAGGCCGGCGTGAATAAGCTCGAAGACATTAAGGTCGGGCTTAGCTATATAAACTTTTTAAAATGAGTAGGATTCTTTAAACTCGATTTGAATAAGTCCGACTCACCCGAATTATTGGCTTTAATTGAATTGAGAAACCCAAGCTGAGACTCCCAATGGCAAACCAAAATTATCAAGATCTACACTAAAAAAAACCTCATACCTCTTTGCTTGCTAGAAGAGATCGCAAAACCCACAATTAACCATCATGCAAATCCTCAGTCCTTTGAATGCCTCACTAACGCCAATCAAACTCTCATTCCCTTCTCATCAACTCAAATTGAAAGAGGAAACAACACACCCCACAACATAAAAAAAAAAAGGAGAACTGACCACATGTTCACCCCCCGTTGGACACCCCTCTCACGGTAGAAGCTAACAAGAGAGGCATCGAAGAACAAAGGTCATTTAATTAAAAAAACTCCTGCTAATGAAGAGAGAAAAACTCTCACAAAAAAAAAAACCCTAAAGAGAGGATAAGCATTATATTCTTCTTTGATTTTCAATGAGTCTGTTCATAAAATTTTAATTTACACGAAGTTTTCTATGCTTACCTTTCTTTATACATGCAAGACACAATTTTTGCATAACAAAAATTACAAGTGCTTTCCTTAAAACTTCACAACTTCAGTTACTTCAACTTTAGGATTATGCTCCATAAAAGTGTCACCTTCGCTCCTTAAAATTTACGACATGATCCTCAAGATATTATCCAGAGTTAATAACAAATCTGAGGAGGAACTTTTGGCTTCTGGCTTTTTATTACTCTCTCTTCTCATCAATGAGCTTTCTTTATCATTATCATTATCATTATCATTATTATTATTATTAGTGAAGGTATGAATATGATGGTCTGATACATTTCGTTTGAAAAGAATATATTGAGCAATATAAAAGCCTAGCAAAGTGATCATACCTCTTGGAGGGATCCCAACCCTTTTATTGTCTATAGGAGGAGATGGTTCATTCCACATCTAACGAGAATATCCCTTCTCATCCGAGTTGATTAATTGAATCAAGCCCATATTAGATTTATTTTTTGGAAAATTACACATAGGTTTAGTCAAGTTGACCTATTTACAAATAAATTTCGTGAAATTAAAAAACTATGACCAAGTTTGTTGAGACCTGAGTGTAAATTATGATAAAAAAATAATAATACTTTTATTACATTATATTAATTAAATAATTTATAACTATTTCATTAAAAATTTATAATTATAACTTTAACTTTTTAGAATTGTAACTTCATATATTCAATAATTAAACTGGCTAGTTTAACTATTAAATATGTGAAATTATAATTATAAATTATTAGTAAAATAGTTGTTAGTAATGCATAAATGTTTAACTATTAGACATGTAAGGTTATAGTTGTAAATTGTTAATAAAGTAGTTATAAATTAATTATTTAATTAACATAATATATGTTTTATAGGGGTCTTATTATTTTTACAATTTAATTTCAAATTATACTCAATCTCAAGAGACTTAGTTATGGTTTTTAAATTTTGTAAGCTTTATTTGTAAATAAATCTACTTCACCGGACTTGTACATAATTTTTCCTTTATTTTATACATTTTTTTACCAATTTGCACAAGTTTTGTTTTTGTTTCTTTTTTAAGGTTGGTTAATTTAAAACAGCAGCTGACATCAAAAGCGATTATTTCGAGTTTGGTTATCATTGTCTTGTAAATCCATTCAACGAGGAAAGAGTTTCAAAATGTAAAAATTTTCACATCGGATCAAAACAAACAACCTGAAGTGGAGTAGTCATGAAGCAAGATTCCTCGTTTGTGCAGTTACATCCTCAAAATTAGAAAGAATGATAGTTAAATCTTAAAAAAAAAATTAATGCCAGTTAAATTTGTGATGATTTTTTTAAAAAAAATTAATTATAATTATTGATTCAAACAATTATAAATTTAAAAGTTTCAATTACAAATATTATATTTAATTTTAAATATAATAATTAATTTATAATTTAAATTTTATTTATATCTGTTTGAATTTATATTTATAATTTATTTTTATAAATTTTTTTTGTCAGAATTCAGCTATTATTAATTCATTGTGTTGAGACAACCCGTTCTCTCTGAAAGACTAAAATTAATTCAACGACCCTGTCGCAGCGCCGTGTTGTTCACTTCCCCTTCTGCTCACAAATATCTCTTTTTCTTATCTCGCACTCTCACAAAAGCTATACTAGCCATGTGAAGCTAATTCAAACACTAAGAACAAGGTGGGGACCATGAATAGCAAAAATAAAACAAATAAATTATAGTGCTATACAGTATACAACTTTTAAATAATATTGCTCGTATGAATTATAACATTGATAGTGTGATTTAATTTCATCTACAAGTAATCCCCAATTTTGCAACAATATCTGCAGTGATGATCTATGTGTTTGATTAGCGATTTAGTTTAATCATATTTTTTAATAAAGGAAATAGCAGATGGTGACTAGCATTTTGGAACCTAATCGGCCTGTGCACCCGGATCCAAAAGAGTACTAAAGTGCTGAACCATGGACTTCAACCTTTGCAAGTTGTTACTTGCTACACGTGATGGGATGATAATATATATTAATCAAATTTCTGAAAAGTACAGTGACTTCATAATTTATCGTTACCAGTCAAGGACTCAGTGGCTTTCGAACAGACAAGATCTCATTATTTCTTAATTATATTGGTTATTATTAATTAATTGTAGATTGATCGAATAATTTATGTATACAAATTTACCTTTAAACTATTTTTTAAGGATCATTATATATTTTATACTACGAGATAGTGTTAAAAAAGTTATCAACAATTACAAATGTAACATCAGGCACCATCTGTCAATTTTCAACTAATCATCATTTATTAAAATTGTGGGGTTGACATTCACTTAATTCTCTCTCTTATTTTTATAATCTCTTTTGCAACTCCTCATCTCTCTCTCTCTCTCTCTCTCTCACATTCATGAATGACCCTCTTTTTGGAGTTTCTAATCGGAGGAAAGAATCTTGACAGCCGTCACCCCAAGGAAGAGAGGAATTTAGAGAAGTGGAGTTGGACTTTCCTTGCAGATGATTGTCGATTGTCGTTGATCATGGTCCCTCAACTTAAAGGCCGGTTTCCTTCTAAAGCAATGAGGACAACATCTGACATTGCTCTGAGCTGCCTTCAAAATGAACCATCAAAAAGACCCACCGTGAGACCTATGGTTGAGCATCTCAGCAAAATACAAAATATGAAGCACTGCTGTCTGGTTTCAGCAAATCTTAATGGAATCATTAGTCCTGTGCCTACATTGAGCTTCTCAATTAATTATATTATTATTCAAAGTTGCCAGTGTTGGCCATCAAAATCATGCAACTTGGCCACTAATTTGAGAATAATTATGCATCTTTTGTTCAGTCTTCTATTTCATGCATGTACCTTAATATTAATAAAGTCCTCTCTTGGATCCAATCCCACGAGATATAAAATTTTCATGTACATTTGAAACTTCGTGGAAAGTTTCCTGGAACCACATGGAGATCATTAAATTCTTAATGAGATTAGAACCATGGGCTCCCAGTGGCAAGAGTCCAATGGCTACAATAATTTATAACAATAAAAAGAAAGACTAGGACTGAAAGAGACTCTTAATTTATTTTTTTAATCTAGTATATTATTATGACAGCTGTGAATTATGCTTTTTTTTTTTAAAAAAAAAAGAACCTTGCATTAATTGATTCAAAATTTTTAACAAATGCCCCCTCCATCTCAAATTATAGAATACTTTTAAAAAAAGTTCTCCATCCTAAAATATAAGAAACTTTAGGTAGATTAAAATTTTATTAAATGTACTAATTTTAATATTATCCTTTCTCTTTATTTAATTAATTTTCATCCTTTTTCTTTTTAATATATTAAATGATAAATATTTTTAAAAATTTATATGTTTATTTTAAAAAGAATAAAATTATTAAATATATTTAATAAAATTTATTACTACATAAGATTTTATTTTAAAGTGTATTATAATTTGAAATAAGGGGCCTCCCCTCGTATCTCGTGTAATCCTTAATTGTCGCTATTTATTCAAGTCTTGAAATTGATGGTGCTTTTGGTTAAAAAGCGTCAAATTCCTAATCAGTAGATCTAAGTGCTTACTGATCACAAACTTCTGTCTTATGATGACATAATTTTTAATATTTCTCTCAAAATGATATTTATTTAAGAGAATTAATCATTTAATTTTTATAATTTTAACTCAATTGTAATTCAATCATTCAACTTTGATGTGTTATAATTTAGTCGTTAAAATTTTAATTCAATTATAAATCAGTCCCTAAACTTTGTCTCTTATAATTTAGTTTCTGAAGTTTTAACCTCTTAAATATTGATTCCTATATTTTAAAAATATTTAAAAATACAATTATAAAGTTTAAAAATATTTTAAAATTTTAAATATTTGTAATATTTATAAATATTAAATGGGTTTAACAATTTAAATTATTAGTAATAAATTTTAAAATATTTTTAATTTTTATAATTTTATTTTTTTTAAAATATAGAGACTAATATTTAAGAAGTTGAAATTTCAGGGACTAAATTGTAAGAGGCAAAGTTTAAGGACTAATTTAAAATAGAGTCAAAACTTTAGGAACTGAATTATAACGAGTTAAAGTTAATAGATTGAGTTACAACTGAGTCAAAACTAAAAAGACTAAATTGATTAATTTTTTCTATTTATTTTATATTTCTTGCCACACCACAAAGCACACGGCCATTGACAAATTAAATGAGCATCTATCAATTTCAACAAAGGACAAATAAAAATGCTGCTCAAACACCATCTTAGTGCGTACAACAACCAAAAATACAAAATTAAAAAGGATATTAACTCAAAAAAGTCATGTTTAGATTGAAAATGATCAAGACCAGCAAAATCAAATAAAATCAATTCATTACAAACATTCTTAATTAATAGAAATTAAGAGAAAATGTCATGATCTGAACGGAAATGGATTTGGGGTGTTTGTTGCCTTTTTTTTTTTTTTTTACTACCTCTGGTACCCAAAATCTCAGCCTTTCATTTCTGGGAATTACATGAAAATGCGCGAACCATTAGCCAAAATGAAGGGTTGAGATTTTGAGAACTAGGGAGACAGCAGAGAGGATAACAAACACCCAAAATCTAACAGAAATACAACCCAAACAATGGCATCTTCAATTTCAGATTGATCAACATCAAACTGATCTCTGATTTGAGTCTCATGAAATATACATAGATATCCTTTATTGCATTTAGCAGATAACACAGCTAGTAGGATCTTCTTCCACCATGCTTACACAGTAACATGGACGCCACATCTGATAGTGATGATAGTGATGGAACTCAGACAACCTCCTGAGCTCATCCAACCTCTGCGCTTCTAACTCGAGTCTTTTCTTCTCTTCTTCTTCCTTCTTTGCCTTGTCGTCTTTCTTAGGTTCATCCTTCTTCTTCTCCGGCTCCTTTGCTGGTCCCACAGATATTATCTCCGTATTACACACCTTCTTCAGCTTGTCCACTACGCTTACCGGGTCTACGTCTCCTGTTACTGTCAATTTCTTGTTCTTCATGTCCACTGACACTGATTCAACTCCTGCAAAAGTTCAACATGTACTTACACACACACACACATAGTTGCCGAGTTTATGGTTCATCTATAGATTCTGTTGTTGAGTTAATTAGGGTCTTACGGTTCGATACCTGGAAGTTTAGAGACTGCCTTCATGGCTTTTGTCTTCATTTTTTCACAATGAAAGTCCACCCTCAGCACTACTTTCTGTCTCACACAGCAAAACAAAAACAGAGATGTTAGAACCATCTGAGTTATAAACTTCAGACTATGAATACTCAGAGTAACTAAGAGGATCTTTTCTCGCCGCGAGAATCAAGTTTTCTGTCTAGTTTCAATCATCAAATTAAAACAAAAAACATGGTTTTTCTGATGATCTGAAATAATTTAAAAAAAAAATGTTAAGAGAGTTATACATGAAAGGGAGGAGAGAATGGAACTAATCTCACCATCATTTTGCGTCAAATTGGAGATGAAACCAAAAGGAAGGACGGGAGAAAGTGTTATTGATAGCGAGTGGTGGCTTGATTGAAAGTGAGAACATATAGCCAAGATTAGGAGGTATTTATAGAACACAAATATAATTGAGTTAGAAAGTATAGTGATTAGTGAACATGGAATTTTAAATAATCTATTTTTAAATTCCTAGTATTTACAGCTAAACTTTTTTTTGGTTTAAGTGGAAAGAGTAGGCCTTGCTAATAGCAAAGATTGTCTCCTCCAAGATATTAAGAGTAAATTAAAGGATAGATACCTCCCAATTAAATTGGGATAGATACAATGTTTGTCTAAACGACGACAAGAGACTCTGTTACTCGCATTAACTTGAATTAGTGCAACTAAACTTTTAATTCTTCAATGTTGAGTATCCAGTCCATTACTTTTTCAAGATTAATAAAAGACCTTCATTTTCGATTATTATTTTTCCTAATTCGAGGTGCATTTATCTCCCTCCTTTTATGTTCATCCCCTTTTGGGCCACCCCTGTTATCGTCTCCCTCAAAAAACAGAGAGAAGATAGTCGTGTGTCATATCTCCGAATCAACACTGCCATCTTTTTTGCCCTTTTGATTTCCACAACGTGGATTAATCATTCATCATTATTTTTATTTGCACAGCTGTTAAAGCCACCACCAGCTGTAATTTACAAATTAAATATAAAAGAATTTTAATAAAGAACTCTTGACCACACTTATTCAAATTTAAGGCTCCTAAATTTTTTGAAATTATACTGTAATTTATGGATACTAATTTCATATTAAATTTTTGAAAGAAATTATAAATTTATCTCTCATTTAAATTAATATCAGAACTACCCGACTTTACTTGTTAATTGCCCTAGTTCATTTGTTCATTTTCAAACTTTCACTTGATTTCATATTCATTCTATGGTAATGAACAAATGAAGTAAAAATTAACAAGTGAAGTTAAGCAATTCTGATATTAATTTAAATGAAAAGTAATTTTATTATTTTTTTATAAATTTAATATTAAATTAGTACCCCTCAACTGAAGTGAAATTTTAAAAATTTAAAAGCTTCGAATGGTCGAGGGATTTTTATTAAAATCATCCCATTAAATAATCTGAAAGTAATCAAGATAAGATTGAATAAAATATTCCATAATATTCTACTTCATTCATATAATAGATTATTTAGATTATCTTGTTTATAAAACAGTACTACCTAAGTTAGCAAATAAAAAAATTTTAATTATCATGTTATGAAATGCTAAATAGATATACTATATTATTGTCTTACTTTGAATATTAGAGGGAAAAAAAATAGATATAAAGATCAAAATATTTAGGTGGTATGAACTAAATGTATTATAAGCGATTATCTAATAATCAAAGTTTAAATCATCATGATACATTTTTAAAAAAAATATTGGAATTTTAAATTGGGGCATTAATTTTGTGACAAAAATACCAAAATAAGATGAAGAGAAGAGGAAATAGACAAGGCATTTCTATTAATTCATATTTATATAATATTGACCAGTTATGCAAAAGAATTACTCATTTTATTTCGCGCTCTCTCTGTTTTGGAAGGATCACTAGCAAGAGTTGAAAATTTTGCATCTGCATTGAGAATAAGTTCATTCCTTCTTTCTTAGTTACATATACGTTTTATATCGAACATGCCGTTCGAAACTTCAAATGACAGGCAAATGAATCTCATTAACTAAACATATAATAGGTCAACCCGTTCAATTAAATTGATATTTTTGTTGATTCAATAAAATATTTTATTCATGACTAATTGAACAACAATTCGACAACGATTTTAATCAGTAATCCTTTAACCAGTGCCTTGGTTGATTAAATAACACGTCACGTTTTCAATATCTTAATTATACATGGAATAGGCCCAAAATCAAGGAGCATGAAAAGATAACTAAATATAATATTAAACCAGTGCACTGTTTTTTTAACCAGCGAACCAGTAACACTGTTAATAACCAGCATGTGCATTATTTTGTTGGTGACATTGTTTTCATGGAAACACTTAATCAAAACGTGGTTAATTAGCAGATGACGCAGGGATCAGGATTTCCTTCCATCATGTAGCAGTGTTGGTGGGGTATCGGAGGATAACAATTGCAGGAGACACAATAATAATTGCAGCATGTAGACACATCACAGGGCACGTTAACTATCTTTGGATCATCTGGCTTTTCCTCTTTCTTATTAGGTTCTTCCTTCTTCTTCTCCTCTTTGGCTGGTCCCACTGACACTATCTCTGTGTGAGACAGCTTCTTCAGCTTCCCCACTGCATTCACAGGATCCATATGCCCAATCAAAGTCATCGTTTTTTCCTCCATGTTCGCTGATATTGACTCAACTCCTGCAATTTTTGAACCATCCCATTCCAACGCACACGATTAATCTCTGAATAAGCTAAGCTTAAACTAAACCCAGATTTTTCATGCAAAAGCTTGTGATTGAGTACCTGGAATGCCAGAGACAGCCTTCATAGCTTTCTTCTTGACTCTGTCATCGTATAACTCCACCTTCAGCACTACTTTCTGTCACATGATCAACGAATGTAATTCATCATCAGGCAAGCAAGGAAGCACACAGATATATATGTATAGATCATGAAAGAGACTGAAGTTCTAACCATCATTTTCTGTTGGAACCTGTGGAAGCTGAGAAAGAGTTGCTGATAAGAACTCGAAGAGTGGAAATTTCTGAAGTTGAGATGAAGGTGGGGATGGGAGGTGGATTTTATAGAAGACGTAGCCAAAGGGTTGGCGTGTCACGCACGGGTCCTGACCTCGGTGCACCACAATGCTCATCTCACACTGATGCACACTACAGTGCTCTTTAGGTGATGAAATCTCCACCATTTAAATTTTAATATGGATAGTTAAGTATTATTTTATTTTATATTTATTAAAATATATAGGAGTTATAAAAATTTTGATCCATATTTATTTGCACCATATAGAATATATTTGGATAGTTAATATATAATTATAAAAAATTTAATATTAAATTAAATTTAAATCATATTAAAAATAAAAAATTATCAAAATTAATTTTGTAAATTTTTAATTTAATAAATATATAATAATGCTTTAATCTCAACGGTCCAAATTAAAATTAAAATGATTCAGATTTTATGGGGCCACCACTATGAGTATAGTAGATGAACGCGTCACACACGCGGGACGGGGAGTCAAGTCAAATAGCAGCAATGATCGAGTCTCCCGTGCACTAAATTATGTTCTTTTTCTATTTTGTTTTAAAAAGACGTTTGCACTATCACTGCAAAGTTACTTTCAGGAGGATGAGAAAAATGAACCTTTGATTTTGATATTTTTTCTGGATTATATGTTTTTTCGCTAAAATTAGAAGGGTCGTAATAGAAAATGTATAAGAGATTTAAAAATAAATAAATAAGAAAGTGAAATTTTACACTTCTTCTATTTAAAAATATAAGATATTTTTAATCGAATCTCACCTTTCAATAAAGTAATTATCTACTTTCAAACTAATCCTATCTTTTTATATTTACCTCCATTAAACATCCTATAATAAATATAAAGTCATTATTAATATAGGTACTTAAAAAATAATAATTACATCTCAAAAGATTAAAAATGTTTTACATTTTTAAATATTTAAATTTTAAAAAAATTATATTTTTAAATGGAGAGAGTAATTTTTATTATTTTGTCTGAGGATTAAACTTATTAGACAGTTGTTGTTCTTATTTGATTAGTCATTAGAGGATCCCTTCATTATTTAATGTTGAATGAGAGAAGTTTCTTTGTGATTGTACTAAATTTATGAATTAATTTGTACGACTTAACATTGGTATATAGTTTGGCTTGCTACATATATATATATATATATATATTGCAAATATAATAAATTTTAAACTATTTATGTTTCGTTCTAAATTTATTTGTTTAAATGACACATATAAGCCTAAATTGTGGGTAGGTATTTGCATTTTCAAAGAAGTCGCTATCGAAATAAAGTCTCATAAAATCATGAAATTACTATAAAGTCTTGTATCATTTATTTAACTTATCAAATACTATTGGATGGTAATTATTAATAAATTGTTCAGTTGATAATTAAATAACTATCCAGAAAGGTAAGTGAAGAATATGAGATTTTAGAATAATTTATGATTTTATAGGACTTCTAATCTAAACATTTAGATTACTTGTATGAAAGAAGGTATTTAAAAAAAAATATGAAAAAGAAGAAGAAGCAAAGAGCAATTTTCGATCAGGACATTGAATTCAAGATGAGACGAGAACAAAATATGTAAATTGAGATTATGATGTACCGACACTGATCTTTGTGACTGCTTTATTATGGTCACCATAGTCCATAGGTGAAAATGCCTCCAACAGTTTAGCCTTAAGTTACTCTCTTTTATTCCCCCATTTTCAAAATGCAATTTTTTTAATTATAATTTGCGTAGCATTTATTAATTTTTTCTATTAAACCCTTATCTACTAAGGATATAAATTATTGAAAAAATTACATTTAGATCCTACAAAAGCATATTTATTTATAAATAAATTTCATAAAATTTAAAAACTACAGTTAGATCTCTTTAAAACTTAAGTATAATTTAAAATTAGAATGTAAAAATAATATTGTCTTTACTTGTAAAGCACAATTAATTTAATTATTAAATATATATGTGATGTTACAATTATAAAAAACTGAAGTAATGATTGTAAATTAATTATCGATAAAATAATCATAAATAATTAATATTAAAATTTATTAATAACACATGATCAATTTAACTATTAAATATTTAAAGTTATTATTGTAAAATATTGAAGTGATAAAGTTAACTTACTAATGAGATAATTGCATACAATTATTATTAAACTTATAATGCATAATTTATTTAAATATTGAACATGTAAAGTTATAATTATAAAAAATTAAAATAATAATTATAAATTATTTAATTAATATAATATATTTTTAATAAAAATATTATTATCTTTACATCTTAATTTTAAATTATATCATATCTTACAAAACACAATTTTTTCTAGATTCTTTTAATTTTGTTAAATAAATTGAATAAAAAATGTAGTTTCTAGGAAGCTAGACTCTTGGTGGGTTTGAACTCTGATGACGTTGGTGTGTTGACGTTGTTGCTCGCGCACCATCTTTTTTTAATAACAAACGAAAAATACATCCACGTCCTCCCCCTCTGGCTTTGTAAAATTTTAAGGGGAAGAGAGAAAATTCAGCCATACATCATTTTTCAAGAAATATTTGATATTTTATATTATAATATAGGATGATATAAAATAAATTATTAATTATTTAAAATGGAGCATTTAACACTTTTCATTAAATTTAAAGAGACTTCCTTTACTCCCCTAAACTTATTTATAAATTACTTCTAATATATTTTATTAATATTAAGAAAAATTTTAAAACTCATTAACTCTATCTTAAAATTTAATAAATTTTTAACTTTATCCTTATTAAATATATATTTTTTAATAATATATTTTTTTAATATTTAATGAAGGGTAAAAGAAAAAATTTATAATAAAAATTTTGAATTGAGCATATTATTAAAAAAGATATATTTAATAAAAATAAAGTTATAAAATTATCAAATTTTTAAATAGAATTAATAAATTTTAAGATTTTTTTTCATGGCAATTAAACACGTTAAAAATGACTTGCAGCCTTGAAGGAGAAGAGTAAAATAATTAATGGTGGTCATTAAATATATATATATATATATATATATATATAATGCGGTGGAATGAAAAGGTGGCGGCTCACGGGGTGAGTCTTTTTTTTTTTGGCCCAAGGGTTATGGGTCATTTTCAACGCTTTCCAAAATTTGTATGTTTATTATAGTTTTAGAGAAAAAAATTATTTTGTAATATAAAAAATTTAATAATAATTTTAGAGAGTTCAAGTTATCATTTTAAGAAGTTTAACTTAATTTAATATTATACTCAATAGAAATATTTTGATTTTAAAGTGGAAGTATGAATTTTTATAAATTTCAAATCTTTAAATGCTCCTATTATTTTTTTATGTTGCTATGTGTAATTGCATAATCCTAGGCAACCCTCATGATTTATTTTGAATGACTATTGAGCATCGGCTCTGGTATGCACAAAACAATTTTGCCACACATAGCATAAAGAGGCCCAACTCATGTTGGTTGCCTTTGTATACCACAGCAGATGTTCTTTACACTACGGCATATAACATAAAGAACCTTTCTTTATTTTTTCCTTCACTTTTGATATTCGAGTGGCCTGACTTTACTTCAAACCTACATGTAGAGCTAAAATCATAATCATTTATACAAATTAGATATCTCTGACCACACACCACATTAATTCACTTAATTAATGTCATTAAGCTTAATTAATTCAGTTTAAATTTCTAGGATGTTACAACCCCCATACAAGTCCCGCCTTGTCTCATTTAGTGCTTTATCCAATAAATATCTGAAACCATCTTTGATGACAGATGAAGCTAATGTAGAGGTGAATTTTTGACAAACTATAAGATTATCTTGGGTTAAGCAAATGTGCTCATGCTTAAAGGAATGCACGTGTAAGAACTTTAAATCATGACTCATTGCATAAGTAGTTATTTTTCATGGACACCCATCAATTATGCACTTCACTATCTTACTTTTTGCATTATTCTACACATACTTGTGTTCTAAACTATACATGTAAATGATTTCTTGAATATGCCTACATTATTGAATGCTTGCCTAAGGCTTAAAAGCAAATCCTTCCACTTGGTTGCACCATGCTCAAGAAAAGGAGTAGGTATGCTTTGAATCAAACATGGAAGTTCTCTTCTTCCCTTGCTTGATGTAGATCGAATAATAGATAATCCAAATAATATTTCTGTACAATCTAACCCTTGACAAATTAGCACAAGTTCAACTTCATTTTTACACTCATTTACAAATTTAACTATATAAATGTGTGTAGATTTTTTATTAAATTCAACTAGTTATTGAACTCCTTCATCATCTTTCAAGTCTACTACAGTGGTTTTCATCTAATTCTTATAGCATGCACTTCAATTCCAATCCTTTAAATTTACACCCAAAATATGAACATATTTTACTTCATAACTCATCATTTAATATTAAAGCACTTACTATCCTTCCATTTGCTTTGCCACTAATATATTACACCCTCCATTCATTAATAACAATCCTTCCCCCTATTTGAAAGTGACAGAATACTTCTTTCTGTTCCTTACTCTTAAAGCTCATAAGGATATCATATAAACCTGCAATTTTCAACACTGAAGGAAAAAAAACATTCATCAGTAAAAAATTATAGTATCATTATAAAATTCTACATTAGGTGTTATTAACCTCTACAATGTGAGGAAATACACTTATGGGAAGAACAAGTGGCAAAACAAATGCTTCTTTCAATCTCTTTCGAACTCTTTTAGTAAAAATTTAAAACTCATAATGAAATTCAACTGTCACCAAATAAATACCAACAAATAAAGAAAAGTTGACCTAACAAAGTCAAGATGTAACGAATTGACCTAACAAAGTCTTTGACTTAGTTGTAAGATGTGAAGCTTCATCAAATAGAGTCAAACGTTAGGTTGTCGAGGATTTGCACATGAGAGCTTCTTAGCGTGTAGGTTTTATTTTTTTTCAAATGTTATAAGGACAA